GTGGCTCAGTAGTTGAGTGTTGACCCAAGAGGTCACAGGTTTGGTTCCAGGTCAGGACACATGGCCCAGTTGTGGGCTCAACCCCCAGGAGGGGGCATGCAGGAGGCAGCCGATTGATGATTCTCTCTCATCTTTGAAGTTTCTATGTCTCCCTCTCCCTAACACGCTCTGAAATCAATAAAAACATATTAAAATAAAATAAAAGTCAAAACTTTAAAAAAAAAATGCTTGGCAGACTAAGATTACTAGATTTGCTCTTTAAAAGATTGTCCATCTCTGTCGAAGATGGGTTTCAGCTAAAGAAAGACTGGGAGCAGAGAGACCGTGAAAACATGCTTATAATAATTAAAAACGTGCTGGCTACTGTCTTCTCTACAGCAAGCCTCTCTCATTTTCAGTTGAAAACAGGAAATCTTTAGATTTCTGGAAAATATTGCCATTCCTAATAAGAAAGTTCCTTTCATTGAAGGATTTGAAAGAAAATGGTTGGTTTCAATGGACATTTCCTGACAGCTAGAAATTCGTTGCTCCTTCCTCAATGCTCCCATCGGATGTAGTGCCTCCTATGATGGCCTCTAACCACGGGGTATCGCGGTTATTATGCGAAAAGGAGTGACCAGACAAAACCCTGGCCCCCAGACCCAACCTCTTGTTGTAATTGGAGAGCAGCCCCTTAGTCCAAAAGCCCTTCACCTGTGCTTTGAACGCCTGCTGTCTTCGCAGGAACCTTACGCATGTGTTCTCATAGGGTAACCCTGCCCTCCTCACTGGGTCCTGCTATCAGCTTTCCACATGCTACCATTAATAGCTCCCCTCGCCCCGGGGGTGCCCGTGGCTACTCTCTCCTTCTCTTCATGGCCAAACTGCCTCTGGTGCAACCCGCACTCTTTCATCTTCCTTCTTCACCCAACTCCAGTTAGGCTCACAACCCCATGACACCGCCAAAACTATCCTCCAGACTTGCCTCCTCGTTCATCATTTCTTTGTCTTCATCTTGTGCTTGAAAACTAAATTTTTGTGAGAAAAATTCTGTGACCATGTGGAAACAATAGTCCAAAATGCATCTAGCTCCATGTCTTCTCTGTTTAGTATTCAAAAAATTTTAACCAAGACATCCTTGATTTCATCGAATTATGAAAATATAAAGTGTGGTCTGCTTTGTTGGAAGGATAAAGACCCTCAGCTTTTCCTTTGGGTACTTGTCTTCTACTCAAAGAAAAAAAGCAAAATCTTTACTGTGCAATAATTTAAACCAGAAGTTGAAGAATAATCTGGGTTCATTGGATGTCTTAATGCTAACATATTAGTCTGCTTCAGAACTTACACTGCTCAAAATATCTTCTGTTTCTGAGATCATATAATATTGAGTTATATTATTTCATAATTCTTTCTTTTTGTTTTGTTTTGTTAATCCTCACCTGAGGATATTTTTCCTTTGATTTTTAGAGAGAGTGGAAAGGAGGGGGAGAGACAGACAGAGAGAAAAACATCGATGTAAAAGAGACACATTGATTGGTTGCCTCCCACACAGGCTGGGGTCCGGGGATCAAGCCTGCAACCGAGGTACATGTCCCTGACTGGAATCGAACCCGGGACCCTTCTTCAGTCCGCAGCTGATGCTCTATCCACTGAGCCAAACAGGTTAGGGCTATTTTATAATTCTTGATCCTCAAATAGATCTGTTGTTGGACTGTGCAGTGTGCATTGTAAAAGAAGGCCATGCTCTTACTAGAAACCTTGCTTTACTCTTTTCCTTCTTCTAGGTTGTATTTTTAAAATTCTCAGAAAGGGAAGCAAATTAAGCATACCCTATTTCTAATCATTAACTTAAACTTTTTATGTTCTTTTTGTTTCAAATGTTGAATGACATCAGAGCATTGTAAACTTTAAGGACATAGACATCACCGACAATGCTTTACACCTCATGATGCAAAATCCCATGGAAGATCTGGGCAAAACGCATTTTTTTTCTTTAGCTTACAAAATTAGTCATAAAAGATACTAAAATATTTTTGTTGTTTTCTCCCATCATAAAAGTTTATTTTCTTCTTTCAAAAATGAAATATCTCCTCTTTTCACTCTGTGTGTGTGTATGTGGGGGGAAGGTGTATAGTAAATCATTTAGTTGCAATAGTTCGTTGTTAGAAATCTTGCATGTTAATTAATCCGATTTGCCTGTCTTCCAGTTCCACCAGACCCCACAGCGTTCCAAGCTCATGCGAAATTTCAAGTTGGCTGCTCTCTGCTGGGTGGACATTGGACAGAGGAACCCAGCTTCTTCCACATCGCTTAGGTCGCTCCGGACTCCAGTCTGCAGCAGAAAAACTTGAATCAGGTGTTGATGATTGTAGTAATCATCTAAAAGCTGATACGTACATATCACTTCATTGTGCCAGGCACTATTTGGCATTGACTTCCCTCAAGAACTTAGTCCATTATTTTCTGTTTTCAGTTAATGAGACTGAGGCTCAGAGAAGTTTAGTAACAAGCTGAAGATCGCACAGCTAGGACTTGCTAGCAGCAGCACTCAGCTTTCCCAAGCAGTGCTGCAGTTAGTTCTCATAACCATCTGGCCACATCTCCAATTCAAGATTCCTGGCGCTTGCCCCCATTGGTGCAGGGTATCCTGACTGTGCTCAGCACTTGGCTCTGCTTCTAAGCTAAGAACTCAGTGCTGTTCTTTAATTGGATCGACAGTGGCTGTTGCATTAAGTTGGGACCTCAACCCTAATTGCTAGCAACCACATAAAATGTTCTATTTTAAATAGACCTCTTTTTTTCAGGTGGCTAAGACTTTAAAGTAATGATACTCTATTTACAATTGCCAGGAGGCAACAAATAGTCGTTTTATAACGTCTACATTTTGTGTTCAAATTATTATCTAAATTTTGTTCTCATTAGTCAGGTCATTTTCAGTTACTGCGAGAGTGTGTTGTTGTTTTTTTACCCAGATGGTCTTTGCTATCACTAATTAGAATACAAACAAAAATAAGACAAACTTCCTCTTATTTGTGAATGATAAAGCTACCAAAAGAGGGGTTAAGTCTGAGCTGTTCAATAAGGCAGCCGCTGCCCACATGTGGCTACTGAGCATGTGAAAGGGGCTGGCTCGAACTGAAGTGTGTGGTACGAGTACAATACAAAGCAGATTCTAAACACTCAGCACACAGAAAAGGCTGTGCAATATCCCATTAGCAACTTCTACATCAATTACATGTTGACATGATGATATCTCGTGCAATATAAAATGCATTATTAAAGTTCATTTCACTTGTTTCTTTTAACCTTTCTCATGTGGCTACTAGGACATTTGAATTCCATCTGTGGTTCGGCATGTCCCTATTGAACAAAACTGGGATAAAGAAAGTGTTTGTGTGAGGGGAATCCAGCAGTTGGCAGCGGATATGTTCATCAGTGAAAAGCAGGCTTTTTTTCAGTGACAATTCTACCTTTTTCTCAAGGTTCCGCCCTGTCGGGCTGTCGCTGTGTCCCTAAGGACCCGAGAAGAGGCATCTCCTCCTCTGGAGAGATTCTCAGGCTGATTTGTCACTCGGAAATGTGGACCCGGGATGACACGTCAAGAACGAAAAAGGTACCAGCATCTCTTGGGTGGGTTTCCGAGCGCCTGGCACGGTTCCGAGCGGTGGTCACGGCGCAGAGCGCCCCTCTCCGCCACGGGATGACAGTTCCCAGCGCAGCGGTGCAGAGCCAAAGGGCGCCCACGAGTTCATTACATAATTCTCGGTAGCATGTGGCCAAGTGTGGGTCTGTGCTGGGCTACGGTCTGCAGGCTCTGCCACGCAGACTGGGGCGTCACCGCGATGTTTTGACAGAGCGTGTGCTAGAGGTTGTTTGTTTGGAGAAACACTGGCGCTCGCTCTCTCTCTCTCTCTCTCTCTCTCTCTCTCTCTCTCTCTCTCTCCCCCTCTCCTCTATTAAGCACTTTGGCATAATACTGAATGACTTTGTTTTCAAGCTGCCTTCGCCTTCCTTTACGGAGAAAAAGCCTGAGTATTCTTTCCCCGTCGGACACGAGTGTTATTTTTGGAGCAGAGGTTCTTAGGCTGATCTCTGTCTAAACCAATTTCTGTTCTTGTGAGGTCGTGGTCTGGGGCGGCTCTGAGCGATCTCGGTGGAGGGAAGCCTCCTGGCTCCTCGAGGGATGTGGGCAGAGGCGTTGAGGGGCCACCCTGAAACTTGCCTACCCTGGGCCTCACGTCAAGGCTCCCTTGCACTCAGATTGTGCCCCAGGAACGGTCTTGGCCACATGTGTGCACTGGTGTGCTCTTCCTGCTTGTGTCACTTTGTGGGATGTTTGGGGTCAAGGTGACTCCCCCTTTTTTAACCTGGTACCTTAGGCCACAGACTCCTCAGAACTGAGAGAGCCACAACTGGACAACCTCTGCAGACTATTCGGGGTGGGTGGGAGGGGGGCTATGGGAGAGCACAACGCACTGTGAGGCCACGAGTCCCCGAGGGCCTCCAGGGACAGGTCTCAGGACCCTGCGCTCAGAGCACCCTCTTCTGTAGCCTGCTCTGCCCCAGGCTGCTGGTCACCAGGAGGAAAAGCTCTCCAGCTTCTCCAGGTCCTCTTCCTGACCTGTCATTGCGGGGCTCACAGAGCTTGAGGCTGCTAGGAAACGTGTAAAATTAGAAACAGCTGAAAACACACACGTGGCACCACCTCACTCTGACCCCTTCCCTTGGAACCTGGTTGCTGTGTGTTCAGGGAGCAGGTGTGCGTAGCGGGAGGCCAGGTAACGCCCCAGGAGCCTCGGCAGGTGTCTCAGGCTGCGCGGCCTCCGAGGACAGGAGGCACCTGCAAGGTGCCCTTCCCTGACCAGCTATCCATAGCCAGCAAAGCCTCTTACCTGGGAAACCTCTCTCTGCAGCCCCGCCAGTCCCACCCGCAGACCAGAGGCCTCCCTGCAAATCCCCGGGAGTTACTGAACCTGGGAACCCAAACCAGCCAGCGGGTAGCCAGACGGCCGAGTCCCCCGCAGCCCTCCATCACGCCTTTCCTTTCCCTGTGCTCAGCCATGGTGGACATGGGGGGCCTGGACAATCTGATGGCCAACACGGCCTACCTGCAGGCCCGGAAGATGTGGGACGGAGACAGCCGGGAGCTGCAGCGGCGGCGCCGGAGCCTGGCACTGCCCGGGCCGCAGAGCTGCGCCCCGCTCCCCCAGGCACTGCCCCCTGACTTCCACAGACTGTGCGAGCAGCAGCCCGTCGGCCGCCGCCTCTTCCCGGACTTCCTGGCCACGGTGCCCCGGTACCGAGAGGCCATGGCCTTCCTGGAGCAGGTGCAGAGCTGGGAGCTGGCGGAGGGCCCGGCCAAGGGCAGCAGCCTGCAGGCGCTGGTGGCCGCTGCTGGCACCCACCCGCCTTCCTCAGCCCGGCTCTGAGCGCCAGGTGCCTGGCAGCCACTACCGAGGACGAGCGGGCAGCCCTGGTGGCGCTGGCCCGGGCGGAGGCCATGGCCTTCCTGCAGGGCCAGCCCCTTCTACGACCAGATTCTGCGGTGGAAGGTCTTTGAGATGCAGCCCGTGTCCGACAAGTACTTCACCGAGTTCCGCGTGCTGGGGAAAGGTGGCTTTGGGGAGGTAAGCGGCTCAGAACAGCCAGGCTGGAAGCTGAAGGATACTGCATAAAGGGGTTTGCTTTGTTTTGCCTTTTTTCTTTTCTTTTTTTCAATTTCAAGGCAATTTCCTTAATACTCATTTCATGCCACCTGTGGCATGTGTGAAATAAAATGAGACGGCATAGGAAAGACAAAATGTGGAACTGGCCAAGAATCTTTCTCTTGGGGTGCACACCGGGCACCCCCTCAGTGCCCCGGACATTGTGGAGAATGGCAGCAGGTGATGGAGAGCCCCTTTTCCCCTTAATGGTGGTAAGCGGGGGAGGGGGAATTTGAGACAAACTGCAGAGATCTGAGAAAACCCTCATCTTAAGGTAAAGTGGAGAATTCATTGTGCACCACTGCTGTGCTCACTCTTTTTTTTTAAGTAGAAAACAAATTTTTTTTGAGGTAAAATTTACATAAGATTAAAATTAACCATTAACCATATATGAGGTAAGATCACATAACAAAATTAACCATTTTAAAGTGTACAATTCAGTAGCATTCAGTGCATTACGATGTTGTACAACCATCACCCCTACAGGATATTTTCCTCCTTCCTGTCCCTCCCCGTCCCCCCTTCTCTCTGTCCCTGGCAACAGCTGGTCTGCTCCCTGTCTCTGCGGATTTGCCTGTTCTGATGTTTCATATAAATGGAATCAGACGATCTGTAACCTTTGGTGTCTGGCTTCTTTCACTGGGCATAATTTTCAGAGGTTCATCCATGTTGTAGCATGTATTATTCCTTTCCAGGGCTGGACAATCTGTGATTGCATGGGTATGTCACATTTCATTTATCCAGCCATCCATTGGTGGGCACCTGGTTGTCTCTACCTTCTGGCTATTGTGAACAGAACCACTCTGAGCACTTTTGGAGGAACCACCAAACGTTTATATTCTGCATCCCCCCCAGCAATGCACAAGGGTGCCAGTGCCCTGCATCCTCACCAACACTTGTTATCTTCCCTTTTGTCAGTACAGTGGGGTGCAGTGGTACCTCATGGTGGTCCCAGCTCTTTCTGGAAGAACATTTCTCAGTTACAGCTTCTCTTTGCTCAGACGCCTGCCGCCTGTTCACTTTGGCTGATTTCTACCCCTCCACCTTCCATATCCTCGCCACGCCCCTCCCTCCTCACTCCCCCCCCCCACCCCACCCCCCCGCCGCCTCTCCACTGCGTCCTACTTCTTCCTCTCCCTCTCTTTCTCTCCTTTTAGGTATGTGCTGTCCAGGTGAAAAACACTGGTAAGATGTATGCCTGTAAGAAGCTGGACAAGAAGCGGCTGAAGAAGAAAAATGGTGAGAAAATGGCTCTGTTGGAAAAGGAGATCTTGGAGAGGATCAGCAGCCCTTTCATTGTCTCCCTGGCCTACGCCTTTGAGAGCAAGTCCCACCTCTGCCTGGTCATGAGCCTGATGAACGGGGGAGACCTCAAGTTCCACATCTACAGCGTGGGCACCCGCAGCCTGGCCATGAGCAGGGTGGTCTTCTACTCGGCCCAGATGACCTGTGGGGTGCTGCACCTGCACTCTCTCGGCATCGTCTACCGGGACCTGAAGCCTGAGAACGTGCTCCTGGACGACGTTGGCAACTGCAGGCTGTCTGACCTGGGCTGGCCATGCAGATCCCGGATGGCAGGCCTGTCACCCAGAAGGTGAGTGGCTCTCCCTCTGCCCGTAGGGTGGGGCACAGAGTTGGAGAGGAGAGGGCTGTTCTATTCCCAGGGCAAACAGAGCCTTGGACTTAATTCTTCTAATTTCCTTTTCCCTAAAGCCCTTAGGTTGTCATCTTGCCTAAGTGGAGTGGTGTGAGAGGATTAGCTTAACTGGTTATTTGGGGGCGACTTAGCTCTTCTCTCGATGGAGGCTGAGGGGAGCCCTCTTGGTGAGTTGGGGATAATCCATGCTGAATCTAACACCAGGACCTGGTTTTCTTCCACTGATAACCAAGTTCCTGATGCCATGTTCCTGAGTCAATAGAGCCTTTGTTTTCTTTTCTGGAAAATGAGGGGCTGGGCCCTAAAATTCCAGGGGCTGGATTCTAAAATTCCAGAATTTTTGCAGATAAACTTCAATAGGATGAGACAAAGAAAAAGAAGAAACCCCTAACTCTTAGCATGTTGAATTAAATATGGCCTTGTCTGTTGAGTGTGGAATGGGGAAATGTTTTATATTACATGAAGATGAAATTTGAAATGAAAAATATAAAAGAGAACAAAGGCAACTGATGTGTATTTTGATCAATTTTGGTGAAAGTGGCTTGCAGAGAATTCTTTGATTAAAAAGAGAATTAGCCCTGGGCAGCAGTTAGAGCATCGGCCTGCACACTGGAGGGTTTCAGGTTTGATTCCTAGTCAAGGGCATGTACCTCAGTTGCAGGGTCGACCCCCACTCCCAATTGGGGCAAGTGCAGAAGGCAACCAATCAATGTGTCCTCTCACATTGATGTTTCTCTCTTTCTCTCTCCTCTCTCTCCCTCTCCCCACCTCCCCTCCCTTCCACTCTCTCTAAAAATCAATGGAAAAAATATCCTCACTCCTTGGATGAGGATTTTAAAAAGGGGAGGGTGAAATCCTATATAATAAAACCCTAATATGCAAATCGACCGAATGGCAGAATGTCCAGTTGCTATGACATGCACTGACCACAAGGGGGCAGACACTTGACGCAGGAGCTGTCCCCTGGTGGTCAGTGTGCTTCCACAGGGGGAGCACCGCTCAGCCAGAAGCTGGGCTCACGGCTGGCGAGCGCAGTGGTGGTGGCAGAAGCCTCTCCTGCCTTCGCTGCAGGTGGGCGGTAAGGAGCGAGGGGTCCTGGACTGCTAGAGCCCCGGACTGCGAGAACTCCGGACTGCAAGAGGGATGTCTGCCTGCTGGCTTAGGCCTGATCCCCAGTGGACTCAGGCCTAAGCCAGCAGGCAGACATCCCCTGAGGGGTCCCAGACTTCAAGAGGGCACAGGCCAGCTGAGGGACATCCCCTTCCCCCAGTGTACAAATTTCATGCACCGGGCCTCTAGTTATATGTAATTAAGCAATTTTTTAAAGCAAACAATACAAAGTCTCTGGAATTCTGACAGGTCTTTATCACTGAGTTTCTGTGAACAAAGGTGGGAGATTCCCCAGGAAGACAAGGGCCCAAGGCACATTTAAAAATATTCAATTAAAACTTTGTTTTTACACAGTTTTTAGTTTACAAAGCAGAGAAAGCAGTCAGGCAAGGAAGTGAGGAAAATCATGGCAAGTTTTAGAAATTGCAGGTCATTGATTGTATGTGGCTGTAAGGTTTTGACAAGATGTGTAGGACTTAGTAGTATCGTTCAAGGGCACTGGAATGCTTTCCTGTGGGAACAAGAAGCCATTGTAGGGTTTTAAGAAGGGAATGACATGAGTCAACTTGCATGTTTAAAAGACCAATTTGGAAGGTAGATGAGAGGCAGAGAAGCAAGTCAAAGCCCAAGAAGGGATGATGGAGGCCTACAAAAGCCAGTAGGACTGAAGCAGTGGCTGTAAATTGGAGGTATTGGAAAGAGACCTGGTGGGACTTCAGGGTGAGGGACAGTGAGCTGGGGGGGGGGAGGGGAGGGGGGCGGGTGAGGAGGGGGTCTCTAGCTCCTGTGATCAGAAGGAAGAGCAGAACTGTGGGAAAACTGGCAAGTTTAACTGTGATTGTATTGCTTATGAGGCACCTGTGTGACAGGCAGGTGGAGATGTTCCTTCACAATTCCCAGGGAAGACCCTCCGTGGATAACTTAGGTCACATGCCCAACCAAAACCAATTCCACTGGCCAGGATGAGATAGGTCACTGCTGTTCCCAGGAGCCAGGGAGAAGGTCTGTCCATCTAAATCTCGCGAACTGACAAAAGAGAAATGCGTTCTCCAAGGGAAAATCAGGATGGAAAAGAATGGGAAGGAAGTAAATGTCAGTTAGGCAAAAACAGTGGGTGCCTCTAATAACTGCTGTTACCTCAATGGTTTAAAAAGTTCAGAAGCTTTCTGACCTCTTAATCAAGGAGTAATGGGATCTAGATCCTTTACAAAAGCTTCTATGAGATAGGGACCAGTATTGGCTCCATTTTACAGATGGAAAAATTGAGCCCAACTGGCGTGGCTCAGTGCTTGAATGTCACCCTATGAACCAGGAGGTCACAGTTAGATTCCTGGTCAGAGCACATGACCAGGTTGTGGGCTCGATCCCCAGTGGGGGCGTGCAGGAGGCAGCCAATCAATGATTCTCTCTCCCAGCATTGATGTTTCTATCTCTCCTTCTCCCTTTCTGAAATCAATAAAAACACTTTTTTTTTTTTTTTTAAGAAAGAAAAATTGAGACTCAGAGAGGTTAAGTTATTCACCCAAAGCCACATCACTAATACGTGATAGGAACCAGATATGTCAGATCAAGAGCACTTACAGTTTTGACTCCACCTTGTTAAGTTCACACACAGAGCAGATGTGGCCTATGGTCTTTAATGCTGTAAAAGGCTCGCCACTCTGGAAAACTCAGACAGAATAAGTGCACGAGATGGCATTAGCATCTCTCCCTCGGTCTGGTCTGATATGGACACCAACCACAAGCCTAGTTGAACCACTGACAGAGTTAAGACTTCAGAAGACTAGCACCCCCACATACACCGCACTATGTCTCAGACCTAGCCTCCCACACAGCGACACAATATCACTCAACGTGGTCCCAGCCACTGTCTACACTCACTTGTAATAAATGTGATAAGCACCCCTGCCTGTTCTCAGCTGACGTCTACATGCACACACTAAAACGAACTCATAGCACCTTTTAGAGACTCCAGGAAAATATCATAGGAACATTGGGCAGCGGGGCTCATGCTGGGACTTTCCAGATTCAGCATTCAATGTGGGCAACGGTGACCTTCAGGTTTTATGGAACGTGGGTCCTTAGAACTTGTTATTTGGTCAAGACTGGAAAGGAAGTTAGAATAACGACCCCAAAGCTTTTACACGTGTGGTTACCTTGTTCCGCCTTAAAGCCTCTGGCCAACTCCTTACATTCAGAAGGATAGTGGGTGACAGAGGCTGGGCACTATTATACTTATTTTTAAGCCTTTATTATACTGAACACAGTGCCAGAGACATACTGAGTAAGTGATTTTTAAGAGATTTCTGAATATATCATCAGAACTTAACACCTACAGACATCACAACCATTAGGACCCTGCGCCAAATTTTTTTCTTTTTGAAATTTACTTCTGAGTAACAGTTTAAGAGCCACATAGGAGAGGCATCTGGTTACTTCATGGTCTCCACCAAAATTATCACAACCATTATTAACTAAATTCAGTTCCTACTAACTTTTTTTAAAAACTGATTTTAGAGATCAAGAGGAAGGGAGAGACAGCGATTTGTTGTTCCACTTATTTATGCATTCATTGGTTAGTTCCTGCATGTGCCCTGACCAGGGATAAACCTGCAATCTTGGCATATTGGGACGATGCTCTAACCAATTGAGTTACCCAGCCAGGGCCTAGAAACCGGACCACTACAAAAACGTCAAGTCTAGCCCGGCCAGCGTGGCTCAGTGGTTGAGCGTCAACCTATGAACCAGGAGATCACAGTTCAATTTCTGGTCAGGGTATATGCGTGGGTTGCTGGCTCGATCCCCAGTGTGGGGCATGCAGGAGGTAGCCGATTGATGATTCTCTCTCATCATTGATGTTTCTATCTCTCTCTCCCTCTCCCTTCCTCTCTGAAATCAATAAATATATATATTTTTTTTAAAAAAAGAAGAAAAACCTTCAAGTCTATTTTCAAAGTATTTACCACTATTAAGAGTATTCAAAAATCTTCACAACAGTCTTGGAATTATTTTAACATTCCTACATTGAAAAGGCAGTCATTCATTCATTCACTCAATGAATCATTCAACATATTCTTATTGAGCATTTTCCAGGACTGAGTTAAACATGAGGGATAGAATGATGAGCTAAAAATGGACATGGTTTTCTGCCCACGTGGAGCTTAGGGTCTAGTAGGGGAGAGATAGAACTTAGGAATCATTCGAATGAATGTAAAATTTCAATTATGATAAATGCTATGAAGATGTGGTACACAGGTCTCTCCAAGGAGGATTTGACTGAACGTGTGAGGATCAGAATTAACCTCAGGGAGATACCACTTATTTGCTATTGAGAGATAGACAGGCATTTACTCAGCAAAGAAGTTGGGGTGGTGTCTGAGGCTGTGTTCCCTGGAAACGGACTCTGAGACAGATTTACACGTGGAAGATTTATTAGGGTGCACTCCCATGAGATACCAGCATGAGGAAGGCAGGATTGGCAAAGAGAGAAGCTGACCCACAATGAGCTTGAACTAAGACCTCAGGCAGTCCTTCAGTAAGCTCTGGAATTGGGGTGGCTCTAGGAGTTGTCCAGGCTTTTGTATCCCTCCAGCAGCCAGTCGGTGACCTTGGCCAGCTGGCAGAATGGGGAACCTTGGGTGAGCAGTTCCCTGCTGCAGAAGGCAAGAACCCATGCGGAGAGGCAGGGAGGTGACAGGAGATAGGATTCCAGGCGTGGGAGCCGAGGCTCCAGGACCTGGGCACATACTCCATTGTCTCACTGGATTTAACTTACAAAACACAAATTCAAAAATTTGTCAAGACAGCCTTCAAAGCCCCCACTGTCC